CCGTTCAGTAATGTAGCTGGGTGCCAGACTTAAACAAGCTTTAAAAGTGATCAGTGAAATCTTAAAATCAATTCTAAAATGGACAGGGAACAAGTGGAGGGAGGGTACCACAGTAACACAGGGGTAATGTGCTCCCCTCTGCTCAACCAGTGAGAAGTCTGGCTGCTGCGTTCTGGACCAGTTGGAGGCGGGAGAGGGATTTGGCCTTTAGTAACTTTAATGAGATCAGGAGGAGTGAGAAGGAGCACAATGTCTTAAAATGATTCTTTTTCACTTTACAAAGGCCCATTAGATTAGTGTGCTGCTGTAGTTGAGAATCTGTCAGTGCAAGAGCCGGTACGTGTCGTAGGGTCTGTGAACTGAGAAAAATCACGTTTCTTCCACTTCACTTTCCGTCCAAATCGTCCGACGGGTCTGATCCCTCTCCCCGTGTACCAGGACGCCTTGATGTCTGGGTCTAAAGCAGAAAACTGCTCTTTCACTCACACACTTTTGTTTTGTCTTGTTTGATTGTGAACGGTCGATTACAGTACGTCACAATAGCAACAATGTAGTGACAGACAAAATAAAAACAGTCAAAAAATCTAATGAGAAAAATGAAAAGAAGAAAGAAGTAAACACAATAACACTTTTGATTAGCCCTCATTAATTAACAGATAATTAAACTTATTGACTGGCATTGACTTATTTTTGCTTATGAAAACACCAATTAAGAGATAATTAAACAAACCATAAACACTTACACTATACACCATATTAGCACTTAATTAGCTGTTAATTGGTGAGGGCTAAACTACAGTGTGACCGAAAACACATCATATATGTATGTGCCCAGGCCCGTCGGAAGGTCTGTGCGACCTGTGCCGTCGCACAGGGCCTCGCACCACACAGGGCCTCGCAATCCTTCCTTTTTTTATTTTTTTATTAAATAAATATACTAGTTCAAGAGTCCCCAAAGGGCGGACTGCGCTCCAAATTCGGACCCCTAATCCCCTTTCTCTGGACCTCTGATTTCTTTTGTTCAAAAGTACATTATTACAAGTGAAGTCAAATTTTCACCAAAAGCGATTTGTAAACAGGCAGGCGCGAGGGCAGCTATCTACGCAGCGGGTCCTCCGAAAAAAAACTTTACGGAGCTGTCAGATAACTTTAGCAGTGTCTGAGTGAAGAAAGTAACGGGAATGAGCCCAGTGTACGGAGAGATGGATACTCGCGTTTTCCGTATGAGGAGGAGGAGAGAGGAGTGTGACCAGAGGAGGAAGAGGAGGAGCTGCGAAACAGGTGTGTGAGCGCTGTTATTGTCAATGTTGAGCCCGAATATCCACATCAAAAACATATTATAAAAGCATTAGCAAACACTGTATGTCCAACGTTCATGCTACTGTGAGTGCAGTGGATTTTGGGCATAAAAATGTGGTCAGAGTGTGTGGAGGAGGAGGAGCAGGAGAAGGAGCGTATGTTGTGAGTGTGGAGGCATGGCAAAAACGTTATTTGATGAGGAAAAAAATAACAAATATTGACTCCGCCTCATAGCCATTTTGGCGCATTTTGCCGTAATCTAACAATTAGAAAAAGAAGAAGACTCCTTTTGGTTCAATCTTTTGAGTTGCTGCCATTTTGCCACAGGACGAAAGAGCCATGTCAGCTAAAAAGACCGCGACCAATATACCAATGCCAAGCGCGGTAACAGTTTGTGTGTGGGTGCGTGCGTGTGTGCGTGCGATGCTGCATTGGAGCGAGGACACACGTCTGCGCGCGTGCTGATCTCTTCACGCACAGCGCGAGGCGGTGCTGAATTCATGTCAAATATTATAACATGAAAAACTTTCCTGAGATCTGGGAAAAAGGTGTCAGGGCAGGGCCTCGCGTTTCAAGTTCGCACAGGGCCTCGCACCCCCCTTGCGACAGGCCTGACATACAAGATTCATAGGTAAATGTGACATTACGGTACGAGGGAAGGTTGCTCATCCATCGTCTGTACTTCAATCAGCAGGTTTTCTCGACGTTTTGTTCTTACTGTGAACGACTTCGTCATAGATGCGAGGCTAAACAAATCTTAAACCATCTCAAACCATCCATAAACAGAGGGGGCGGGTTAAGATTTGTTTTGCCTCGGATCTATGACGACGTCCTAAAAACAATGCCCAAACAATAGATAAAGTTGGTGACATGCTAATGAGGTAGGATCGTTAGACCTACAGGATCATTAGACCCAACAAATCATTAGACCTGCTCCCAACCACATCTTAGCAGACCTTAGATTTGTTGATGAGTTAGCCTCAGGATCAGGGTCTAACCACAGACACATCTCTAACTGGCGGCTGGAGAAAGTTCAGATGATGCTAACTGAAGTACACATGATGGTGAGTAACCTTTCTTTGTTTTAAATAAACCCTGGACGACTGAACTTAACATTACTGTAACTTCTTTCTCTCAACAATATCATATCTGGAATAAGAAAACACAGTATCTTTGGATTCATGAAGTAAAAACAAACTTACTCCTGACGGCTGTGGATGCATCTCGAAGAGGTGAAGAACAGATCAGCATCAGAGGCAGAGGAAGAAGCAGAGCTAGCAAACGCATCGCACACCCACCTGCCATCACAACACACACATTCAAAACATGTCACACACATGCTCATACTGTATGTTTACAGTACAATTACCAACAAGAAACTCAAGCTCCAGTCGAAGAATATCAAAGTGTCGGCTCTTGTTAAGCACAGAATAGAAAGAAAAGACAATTGGGTTTAATATAAGTTTGGGTTTTAAGTTTTTTGCAGTAAATCCAAAATAAAAGCATCTTACCTGCTGGTGTCGCTCCGTCGAGGTGCGGGTCAGTGTCTGGATTTTATCAGTGAAGGAGGAGCGTCAGTCGGACCGGGTGATGTCACTAGAACATCTCCTATCATTTGCTTTTCACGCATCACTTAACATCAGGAAGCAATTGACAAGATAATACGGCAACATCTCCAATTTGATGCATGCTCGGACGTATGTGACATCAATCGCAAGCTTCAGAAATGTACAGATAGTTTTAAAATTGATTTCTTACAATGTTCTCAATAGAGCCAATCATTTGTTTTGATTGTATATAAGTTTTAGTGAGTCACCTACTTGTCATAAATACCATATATAAATAGTTAACAGGGGATATAAAATATGGGGTACCTGACTTACAAACATCAGGCTGCAGTGGTGGGCTCTTGATTCTTCTTTCTGAGTGGAGTTTGCATGTTATCCCTGTGTCTGCATAATTTTGCTCCGCGTGCTCTGGTTTCCACTACCACTAAAATCATCCAGGACTGAGGCTGTGGATCCAGGACTGAGGCATTAGATCCAGGGCTGAGGCTGTAGATTCAGGTCTGAGGCTGTAGATCCAGGACAGAGGCTGTAGACCAAGGACTGAGGATGAGTCCGGGGCAGGGGAGAGACTGGCTCATAGTTAAACCCATGACAAGGGGCCTTGAAGATTTAAATTATTTCATGATGAAAGAATTCTGGGATAAATATCATACATTTTATTTCACAGATGATTACTTTATGACATGACAATGGAATGTAGAACAATATTTATAACAACATACATATTGCACATATTGAACACAGCTAAAACATATGGATTTAAAACTACCACCAGGTCTAAACATCACTAAAACAAGTTTTGTTTCTTTGTTTTTCATTTGGATTTGCCTTGTGTATGAACAGTGCTTTACAAAAAACTTGCCTTACCTTATTCCAGTGTTTGAATAAGGACTGAACAAGAACTTGCAAAGCTTTAAGGGAGAGGCAACCTGGATTGTAAAGACGTTTTGACAAGATTTAAGCTGTTCTGAGCTTTCTGAAAAACGTAATTTTATTTATATACAGATCTCAGCTTAAAAGACAACTAAACACCAAATCAACTTTTTAAACTCATAAACTGCATAAATATGTTTCTTATAGCGCTCATGTCCTGCTCATTTTTTTGACATTAATGTGCAATTTAGATAAAATCTGACTTTTGAGCCTAAACCCGTCTGTGTGGCACCCTCTAGACATTTTCGGTGTCACTACATTTGAATTTGGTGCCTGGCCTCTCCAGTGGCTCTGAAGTGCAGTGTGACGTCACTCTGTGCCTGTGGTAAAAAAGCAGCCATCTCTCTCACACACACAGTAGCGAGTTGCAGTATTCTGGCGACATCCAGTGGTTTAAAATTAAATTACATCGGTTGACTGCCACTACTGCTGAGATATAATTCTGTGTCTTAGGTTCAGGTGTGTAGCTCAACAAATATCTTAATGTGGGAGAATGATGTGAGTGTCTGATTTATTTTAGATGACCACGCTCAACTCTAACCCCCCTTCTTGTCCCCTGGTCGGTAATCAACGCCCTTTAAGAGAGAATTTCCAAATGTTCATGTGGGCGGAGTCAGGCTAATTATTGTGGCTAAGGCTACATACTTTAATTTTCCTTAAGCTAATTTAAATAAATGTAAGTATTGGTTTTGTGTATTCCTGTTACCCCGTTTTTCTTGTCTTAGGGCAGTTTTGTTATTTGATTTTGGCCTCACTTATTTGTATTTTTTGGCCAATTAAAAGCCTAAGTATCTAAATGCTTTGTGTGTTTCCTGCCGCACCATCGGCCCCTGACATGTTCTAGACCGCTGTTAGCTTCATCGCTGTAATAATTGCACGATATAGACATTGTGGTATTTGATCCAGTCCATAATAATAACAACATTTCTGGCCATTTTCTTTTTACATTTATGGACATTGCTCTCTGTCCCTTATGGACCAATTTCTCTGTGTTTTTTTTAAATCATTGCATTTCCTGTGAATTTCTGATCTGTTGTTGGCCAATAGAGAGTCCTCAGAGAAAGCTAATGTTGTGATTTAGGGCTACACAAAAATGAATGGAACTGAATTGAATAATACACTCAATCTTGACCCACTTTGGCTTAAAAAGCATTCTTCCAGGCTTCTCCGAAATCCTTCAGATGATACTGAGCCGACGTCTTATGAGCCCAGAATCATGACCGGCTTCTGCAGCGAGAAAGAGACTCGATGCATGATCAAACCAACAGAAATACACAAATACAAAACAGACAAGACGATGCATTGAATCACCAAAAGCACCAAATGTTTTAAAATCAAAGTCAAACGTTGCAACCTTCTCACCATAGTCTTAGTAAAGCCTCTATGTGATTGGCCGGTTTACACACTGATCTACGGCGTTAGCAGAGAACCAAGCCACTATCTTGAACATCAAAGCTCACGTCCTGTTGTCACGGCGATTCAACTTATCCTCGGGAAAACTGATTTTTGGAGGAGTAGGAAATGAGCTGTGATGTTGAAGAGCGGGTCACAGAAATGCAAAGAGCTTTAGAAGTAGTTTGAAGCCCACACAGCAAACGAGACGGGTTCACTGCCACCGAAAAGTGAATATTTAAAAGATCTATGTTTTGTTTTAAAACGGATTCAAATTGTAAATATACAGATGTGCTCGAAAGTTCACCCACACAGCTACAGATGTCTTTGTTTAGGACGTATTTTGGAGATTTCTGTATGAATGACAACACAACTCTTTTCTCTCATTGTTGGCGGATGTGTCGACATAAGAAAATTTGACGATTGTTCAATTTACTTTAATTTCTGTAAATCAACATTTAATGGGAAACCAATATATGGTACAGACTCATTACAAAACGTTAGTGGCTTACAGTCCAGTTTCAGAATATTCTGGATTTCTTGGAGGATTTTTACTTTTTTTTTTTACCTAATCCAATCTATCCAACATTTTTTTCTCTCCCTTAATCCATTTCTGGATCGGGGGCGATAAAAACAATTATACATAAATAAACATACAAAATAAGTGAATTGAGGGAATAGAGGGTGGTGTTAAAAGCCAGAAAGTAAAAGTGGGTCTTCTTACCTATGTTTTTAGTGGTGGAGGAAACCTACGCAAACACGGAGAGAACATGCAAACTCCGGACTCTGGAGGTTGACCCAGGTATAAACCATGGCTTATAGTTCATTTTAGCATCATAAGTCATACAGGTTTGGTATATCTCAGTTGGATTGTAAAAATAATAATACAAAAAATTAGTTTCACAAGTTAAAATATTAGGCCAATGTTTTGAGCCTTTGGGGAGATCAGTTCAGGAAAGGCAGCCCAGGAATTTACACATACTGGCTTTTATCTGAAAAGGATGTACAGCTTTACCCTCAGACCATACAGAAACCCATCCACAGAGGAAAGTATCTGTATTGTCATTCATAAACTCCAAAATATAGCCATGTCTGTTTTTGACATTACTCCTGGGTTTGTGAACTTTTAAACGTGACTGTGTAGAACAATGTGAGTTTTGATTTGATGTGATTTGGAGAAAACACAGGTGGCAGTGAAAGCGTTTGGCACCAGCGCTACAGGGGTCGTACCGCACAGTTAGCCCGAGGTTGGGGCTTCTTGACTGGGTTCCTCTGAGTCAAAGAGCCCGTGTAGCAGGTGTTCCTCACAAACCTGTCGGCCTGGGCTGAAAATATATACTGACGTTTTTGGATTGAATGATGAAGACAAGTGTGTGAGAGAGAAGATTGAAACACCTTGTTTTGGAACGCAGCTAACATGGTCAAAGGATGTAGCTTTATCATTAACCACAAGTTAACTCCTCACTATTGCTAGCTTGTGCTAGTATTATTTTGATCTTTAGCTGTTCTATTTTACAGTGTATGCACAGCTTTTGACTGCTGCAGCAGCGCTCAGACTCACTTTACCAACAGGTTTGATGTCCTACAGGTAGGTCTCTCTCTGGTCTCTCTCTGATCGCTCTCTGGTCTCTCTCTGGTCTCTCTCTGGTCTCTCTCTGGTCTCTCTCTAGTCTCTCTCTGGTCTCTCTCTGGTCTCTCTCTGGTCTCTCTCTGGTCTCTTTCTGGTCTCTCTCTGGTCTCTCTCTGGTCTCTCTCTGGTCTCTCTCTGGTCTCTCTCTGGTCTCTCTCTGGTCTCTCTCTGGTCTCTCTCTGGTCTCTCTCTGGTCTCTCTCTGGTCTCTCTCTGGTCTCTCTCTGGTCTCTCTCTGGTCTCTCTCTGGTCTCTCTCTGGTCTCTCTCTGGTCTCTCTCTGGTCTCTCTCTGGTCTCTCTCTGGTCTCTCTCTGGTCTCTCTCTGGTCTCACTCTGGTCTCACTCTGGTCTCACTCTGGTCTCACTCTGGTCTCACTCTGGTCTCACTCTGGTCTCACTCTGGTCTCTCTCTGGTCTCTCTCTGGTCTCTCTCTGGTCTCACTCTGGTCTCACTCTGGTCTCTTTCTGATCGTGCTCTGCTCTCTCTCTCTCTCTGGTCTCTCTCTGGTCTCACTCTGGTCTCACTCTGGTCTCACTCTGGTCTCACTCTGGTCTCACTCTGGTCTCACTCTGGTCTCTCTCTGGTCTCTCTCTGGTCTCTCTCTGGTCTCTCTCTGGTCTCACTCTGGTCTCACTCTGGTCTCTTTCTGATCGTGCTCTGCTCTCTCTCTCTCTCTGGTCTCTCTCTGGTCTCTTTCACTGGTCTCTCTCTCTGGTCTCTCTCTGATCTCTCTCACTGGTCTCTCTCTCTTCAGCAGTCATGAGTTCAGGTGGTTAGAAAAGTGTGTACCGTATGTGTATCAGAATGGGCCCTAATTTAAAGACTCTAAGCTGCTACTTTTTCACATTTCTTTTAATCCTGCCACTTATGCGATGCGGCTAATATATATACAGTGCCTTGCAAAAGTATTCGGCCCCCTTGAACCTTTCAACGTTTTGCCACAATTAAGGCTTCAAACATAAAGATATAAAATTTAAATTTTTTGTCATGAATCAACAACAAGTGGGACACAATCGTGAAGTGGAACGAAATTTATTGGATAATTTAAACTTTTTTAACAAATAAAAAATTGAAAAGTGGGGCGTGCAATATTATTTGGCCCCTTTACTTTCAGTGCAGCAAACTCACTCCAGAAGTTCAGTGAGGATCTTTGAATGATCCAATGTCGTCCTAAATGACTGATGATGATAAATAGAATGCACCTGTGTGTAATCAAGTCTCCGTATAAATGCACCTGCTCTTTGATAGTCTCAGGGTTCTGTTTAAAGCGCAGAGAGAACCATGAAGACAAAGGAACACACCAGGCAGGTCCGAGATACTGTTGTGGAGAAGTTTAAAGCCGGATTTGGATACAAAAAGATTTCCCAAGCTTTAAACATCTCAAGGAGCACTGTGCAAGCAATTATATTGAAATGGAAGGAGTATCAGACCACTGCAAATCTACCAAGACCCGGCCGTCCCTCCAAACTTTCATCTCAAACAAGGAGAAGACTGATCAGAGGTGCAGCCAAGAGGCCCATGATCACTCTGGATGAACTGCAGATAACTACAGCTGAGGTGGGAGAGTCTGTCCATAGGACAACAATCAGTTGTGCACTGCACAAATCTGGCCTTTATGGAAGAGTGGAAAGAAGAAAGCCATTTCTCAAAGATATCCATAAAAAGTCTCGTTTAAAGTTTGCCACAAGCCACCTGGGAGACACACCAAACATGTGGAAGAAGGTGCTCTGGTCAGATGAAACCAAAATCGAACTTTTTGGCCACAATGCAAAACGATATGTTTGCCGTAAAAGCAACACAGCTCATCACCCTGAACACACCATCCCCACTGTCAAACATGGTGGTGGCAGCATCATGGTTTGGGCCTGCTTTTCTTCAGCAGGGACAGGGAAGATGGCTAAAATTGATGGGAAGATGGATGGAGCCAAATACAGGACCATTCTGGAAGAAAACCTGTTGGAGTCTGCCAAAGACCTGAGACTGGGACGGAGATTTATCTTCCAACAGGACAATGATCCAAAACATAAAGCCAAATCTACAATGGAATGGTTCACAAATAGACGTATCCAGGTGTTAAGTCAAAGTCCAGACCTGAATCCAATCGAGAATCTGTGGAAAGAGCTGAAGACTGCTGTTCACAAACGCTCTCCATCCAACCTCACTGAGCTCGAGCTGTTTTGCAAGGAAGAATGGGCAAGAATTCCAGTCTCTCGATGTGCAAAACTGATTTCCCCCAAGCGACTTGCAGCTGTAATTGCAGCAAAAGGTGGCGCTACAAAGTATTAGCGCAAGGGGGCCGAATAATATTGCACGCCCCACTTTTCAGTTTTTTATTTGTTAAAAAAGTTTAAATTATCCAATACATTTCGTTCCACTTCACGATTGTGTCCCACTTCTTATTGATTCTTGACAAAAAATTTTTTTTTTATATCTTTATGTTTGAAGCCTGAAATGTGGCGAAATGTTGAAAGGTTCAAGGGGGCCGAATACTTTCGCAAGGCACTGTATATTATTGTAATAGAGCCATCAAGTTTTAGTAGCTATGGATACTGGTTTATTAGCTTGGAACTGAAAACTAGCTCCTTTTTACATCTTGCTTATAGGCACTTTTACCATCAAGCTGCATCTCAACCATTTGGTAAAGGCCTATAATAAAAAAAAATATATATTTTATGTATGTATTTAGAAGGCCAATGATTCAAGTTATTCTACATAAAAGTTCCGATGTGCTCACTACTCATCTGTTCAACTATAAAACATTATTGCCTTGATATGTTTGTTGTGTTGACAATATAGACACACACAGACTTCTCACGGTTTACCTGACAGCCAATTAAATACATATATTTTCTGTTTTCTGCTGAGAGGAGAAAATTATGCTCGCTCTCATTAACTATAATGACGTTCACATGTTCTGACCCCCGGGAACTGCTCAAAAACACGCAATGTCTCTCTTACTTGTGGGGAAATTCTGGGACATTCTCCGAGCTGGAAGAGGGATCGCAGACTGGAGGAAAAACACACAATAAAAACACATATACACGTTATGGTCTGCTGTTGTGAATAGGCTCGACAAAACAAATATAAATGTCCTGTATATGATGTACTGTATAGTTTACGATAATTCATACCTTCCTCCTTCTGTCCACAGGCATTCCAGCAGCGTTCAGTTTAGCAATTTTGTTTTCTATGAATGAGACCTGAGAAGAAAAAAATAGTTCAGTGATAATGATAGTTGAGTGACATCTGTAACACTGGGGTCATGTGACACAGTTCTAATGAAACATAAACACCAAAGTATTTCTGTAAATTGATCAAGTTTAAACTGTTGGGAATAAGGAAATTAATAATGCCATTGAATAAGTTATTCTAAGGCCATCAAAAATAATGATAATGAGACTTTTTACTTATTTGTTTTAGAATGTGAAACACTATCCGTCCGTCCGTCCGTTTTCGTCCACTTCATCCGTTGCCGGGTCGCGGGGGCAGCAGTCTAAGCAGAGACGCCCAGACTTCCCTATCCACACACACTTCCTCCAGTTCGTCCGGGGGGACCCCAAGGTAGAGCCCTGCACTTGAGCCCTTGGCCCGAGGGCCCCGACGGCCCGACAGCCCGAGGGCCGGGCTTCGGGCCGATGACCGCATAATGACCTTGGACACGGGCCGGGCTCTTCATTTTCAGAGCGGCAGAATACATTTACGAACGCACCCACTGAATATAGCGTTCTATCACGCTGTAGTGTTTGTTGTTCTGTGTAGTGTTGTCATTGACGGCACATAGCGTTACTTACAGGTGTGTTGCAGCATCTGGGCATCATACAGATGCGGCCGTTCACTCTGCACCACTCCGCACACACAGAACTCATTGCAACACATCACTACCATGTATAACTCCGCCCTCTAGCTAAGTCTGCGTTCATATCAGTGCGCGGCACTATATACTACGCTAAAACATTGTTATGGGAGGTTACAAAAAAAAAAAAAAAAGGCGGGCTTGATGCGGGTTTTGGGCCTGAAAATTGAGAAACCATATCGGGCCGGGCCGGGCTGGGGCACCACCCCCTCGGGCCAGGGCCGGGCTCGGGCCCAGATAATAGGCCCGTGCAGGGCTCTACCCCAAGGCGTTCCCAGGCCAGCTGAGAGACATACAGCGTGTCCTGGGTCTTCCCCGGGGCCTCCTCCCGGTGGGACGTGCCCGGAACACCTCCCCAGGGAGGCGTCCAGGAGGCATCCGGAACAGATGCCCGAGCCACCTCAACTGGTTCCTCTCGACGTGGAGTAGCAGCGGCTCTACTTCGAGCTCCTCCCGTGTGACTGAGCTCCTCACCCTCATCTCTAAGGGAGCGCCCAGCCACTCTGCGGAGGAAGCTCATTTCGACCGCTTGTATCCGCGATCTCGTTCTTTCGGTCATTACCCAAAGTTCATGACTATAGGTGAGGGAGGGAACGAAGATTGACCGGTAAATCGAGAGCTTTGCCTTTCGGCTCAGCTCCCTCTTTACCACAACGGTCCGATACAGCGACCGCATCACTGCGCACGCTGCACCGATCCGCCTGTCAATCTCACGCTCCATTCTTCCCTCACTTGTGAACAAGACCCCGAGATACTTGAACTCCTCCACTTGAGCAAGGACCTCTCCACCCACCTGAAGAGAGCAAGGCACCTTTTTCCGGTCGAGCACCATGGCCTCGGATTTGGAGGTGCTGATTCTCATCCCAGCCGCTTCACACTCGGCTGCAAACCGTCCCAGTGCATGCTGCAGGTCCTGGTTCGTTGGAGCCAACAGGACAACATCGTCCGCAAACAGCAGAGATGAAATCCTGTGGTCCCCGAACCGGACCCCCTCCGGCCCCTGGCTGCGCCTAGAAATTCTGTCCATGAATACAGTGAACAGAACCGGTGACAAAGGGCAGCCCTGGCGGAGGCCAACATGCACCGGGAACAGGTCTGACTTACTGCCGGCAATGCGAACACAGCTCTGGCTCCGGTCATACAGGGACCGAACAGCCCTCAGCAGAGGACCCCGGACCCCGTACTCCCGGAGAACCCCCCAAAGAACACCCCGGGGAACACGGTCGAACGCCTTCTCCAAATCCACAAAGCACATGTGGACAGGTTGGGCGAACTCCCATGAGTTCGCCCAACTCCGATGGAGAGTATAGAGCTGGTCCAGTGTTCCGCGGCCGGGACGAAAACCACACTGCTGAAACACTATCCTCAGTAGAAAATGTATGGTGAAACATACAGCTAGGGTGATTAATGCTATTGGCCTGCTCTATCCCTGTTCTACCACTAGAGGGAGGAGTTGATTTGCTATTATTCAAAATTTGGAATTTACCAACTGCAAACACAGCCATATGGTTGTCAACAATGTAATTTCTATGACGGAGCATAAGGCCTGTACAATTTTTTTTGGCATACGCTTTGAGATTCCATTTCTCTGGAGTTGAACCATTCGCCATCAGCACTGAGTGAAACCCGTCCATTTGTGATAATTGTGTGTTTCTCACTTGACTCTGGGTGTTCTGGACGTCGGCTGCGGCCTGAGCGACCTTGTTCCCGAGCTCAAACAGAAGAGCAGTGGAGCCTCTGAACCGGGACCGGTCCTCCACAGACTTACGGTCCAGACTCTCCATAGACTGGTTCATCTGCAGTGAAAACACAACATCCAGGTGATTGAAGGAACATGTCGTGTGCTGTCGAGTAACTTATGAGAGTCCGGGGTATGCCTCCAAATCACTCAGGGCTCTGATGGGGACCGATGAAGTCTTTGCATGTGTTTGTTTATGTCTTGTTGAGGTGAACACGGCACAAGACTTGATAAATGTCACCCACAAAATTAGCTGAAACCTATCTCCTATACTTAGTCCTACGAGTCCAGACTAGGAGTGTCAATTTTTTTTTTTAGAGACTACCATTCTGAAAGGCTAACACAGCAGTGATCAAGAGGATAAGATAAGATTAGATAAACTTTATTGATCTTACACTGGAGAAATTTACTAGTCACATTTGGCATAAAGAGAATCACTCAGATTGTGTGAATACAGAAGGGTTAAATATTTCAAATGGAAACAAATACGGAGTAGCTGTAATACCAAAGTTTCCCACCAGGTATAACAGTACTGTTTAACTGCATCAACAGTAATTATAATCAAAATTAAATTCCTTGGAAAAATGTCTAAACATGGATTATACAAACAAGGTTAGACCTGTCTGACACCGTGAACTTTGCAGCTGCACTACACAATGACCTTTGTCAAATTCGCCAAAGAAAGCATTTGGAGTTTAGTTTTTATCGGGATATAAATTTTTACGTTTATTGGAAAAGAGGAAAAGTTCTTTTGAAAATGGGGCAGAGGGAGCAGAAGGAAAATAAACCCAAAGCTTGAGTTGAGTTGATTTACGAGAGTGCGACTGGTTTGAACACGGAGCCGGTGAAGAGCCAGAGGATTCTTTCACTGTGGGGGAATGCGCAGAGAGCCAGATGTGAGACGGAGATTGGACGGGGAAGCTAAACTCACAGTAGATGGATGATCACCTGTATCCATGCAAAAGGTGAAAATACTACCTTAATTTCTGGACTTTGTGAAGTGTAATTCGGCCTGACCTTCCCATCCTGCTCCATTCAGAAGCTACCCCATTTCTGCTGCTGTGACCTGAAGGGCTGTTGCTGATTATTACTCTTGTTAGCTTTTTACAATGATCACATTTTTGCTGCAACTGGACACCTGAATTTCTCCTGAGGGGTTCATTAAAGTATCTATACAATACAGTACAATTTATTCTTGTATAGCCCTAAATCAGCTAAATTCTGCAAAAATTCTGTAACCCAAATGCAGAAGAAGCTGCATTTGGACATGAGCTAGCTGGTGCCAATTTCCTTATATGGTCTTTTGTGATGATAGAGTGACCAATGCAAAGTAGCAGGGGCAAATACAAACAAACCTGTTGCTAACATGGTTGCTCCCCCTGTAATGAAGCCATCTGATTGGCCAGTCCTTATGGCTCATATGTGGATTTACAAAGACATCATTAAACTATACACACCAGGATTACAGAGAGTTCTAAACCACAGATTTTTCAAGTCTTGGAATAAATATCATGCACATTTACTGAAGCATTTGAAATTAAATCTAAAATCAACCAGAAATAGAATACCAGACTTTTTTTTTTTTTTTTTTACAGATTGCCCAGCAGTATGTAAAAATCTGGCAAAAAGTGGTACTGCACTCTCCTTGACTCAGGTTGCCAGATATGCAGATGAATCCAGCAGGGAATCATATCTATAACCAACACCTGTTTCACACAGGCCCCGAAAGAAATCCTTGTTTTATTTCTTAATGATTTGAGAATCATAATGAGATCTTTTTTAGTTCTGCGGCCACATGTTACTTCACCAGTGAGATTAGCTCGACGCGATCAGTTCTGACAACCCGGATCACAGACTTTCTGATACGGTGGAAGGCAGGACATCGAAAATAAAACAATAACAAGATATAGGGGTTGTAAAACTAATTTTGAAATTTGAATATCTCTGAACTACTGTTATCAGTTAAAGAAGTATTGGAAAAGAGCAATAAAAGAAAATATTACGCATACTTTAAGGTTGTTTATATCCTCTACAAAGCCTGACAACCGATATTATAGATGCGACATACAAGAAGTGGGCTGAGGACATTGTCAAGTTGTCTGTGGGATTGGTCCACCCACCTTGACCTCCTCTCCCTGCTTCTCCTCGCTCTTGGAGGCCGCACTGAAGCTGCTGAGTCTGGACGAGGGCCGTGTGGGGATCCTGGTGGTCAGAGCGTCTCCCAGCAGAGGACTCCTCCAGACAGAGCTGTCCAGAGAGGACTGTGGACGGCTCACCAGGCTGCCCTCCCGCTCCTCCTCCTCCTCATCATCATCATCGCTGAGGCTGTGGTCGCTGATGTCGTGGGTCATCTGGCTCAGTTTTTGTCTCAGCTGCTGTTCCTCTAGCTCAACTTCCCACTCGGGCATCGGAGACACACTGCTGGGAGTCTGGGTCTGCAGGGAGAGCTGGGGAAAAGAACCAATATGAATATAATGTTAGGGATGGGATGTTATTTATTTTCTAAGATTTGGATCCACAAGAAGAAAGCGACAGAAAGACCCTGTTTTGTTGACACATTTTGGCCTCAGTCCTGGATCTACAGCCTCAGTCCTGGATCTACAGCCTCAGTCCTGGGTCCATAGCCCGAGTCCTGGGTCTACAGCCTCAGTCCTGGGTCTACAGCCTCAGTCCTGGATCTACAGCCTCAGTCCTTGATCTACAGCCTCAGTCCTGGATCTACAGCCTCAGTCCTTGATCTACAGCCTCAGTCCTGGAGCTACCCTGTTTCGACCGGGATTTCAACCCAGGACCTTCTTGCTGAGAAGCGAGAGTGCTACCCACCTATTTTAAAGGAATAGTTCACCGTTTGTACATACTGACATATGTTCTTACCTTACCTTAGACTAGTTAATACGTACCTGTCTGGTCTTAGTCCGTGCGCTCTGTCATGCAAACGGAGCAAAAACTGGAGCACAACCGCAGCCTCCTCTGTATATTTTGTAGCACCAAAAGGTAGCTCCCGCTAGAAGCTACCAAACTCTTCCAAGTGTTCCCTATTAAATGTATAGAGTTACGTGACGTGTTACACTGCAAATTATAGTAACACAGAAATGTAACAGTCGATTTTCTCAGCGGATAAAACGGGTACTATATTGTGAGGCGTAGTAATCTGAGGTGCGCTACGTCCGCGCACTAACTTCTCTCCGGAGACTTCTCTCTCGCTCACTTCCGTCAATAGAAGCAGCGTGACTTGTAATACACACAGTAGCAGCGAGAGAGAAGTCTCCGGAGAGAAGTTAGTGCGCGGACGTAGCGCTCCTAACTTCTCTGCGCACTAACTTCTCTCCGGAGACTTCTCTCTCGCTGCTACTGTGTGTATTACAAGTCACGCTGCTTCTATTGACGGAAGTGAGCGAGAGAGAAGTCTCCGGAGAGAAGTTAGTGCGCGGACGTAGCGCTCCTCAGATTACTACGCCCTCACAATATAGTACCCGTTTTATCCGCTGAGAAAATCGACTGTTACATTGCTGTGTTACTATACTTTGCAGTGTAACACGTCACGTAACTATATACATTTAATTAGGGAACACTTGGAAGAGTTTGGTAGCTTCTAGCGGGAGCTACCTTTTGGTGCTACAAAATATACAGAGGAGGCTGCGGTTGTGCTCCAGTTTTTGCTCCGTTTGCATGACAGAGCGCACGGACTAAGACCAGACAGATACGTATTAACTAGTCTAAGGTAAGGTAAGAACATATGTCAGTATGTACAAACGGTGAACTATTCCTTTAAGACACGCTTTTTCTATGTTGATGAGTGGTAGATCTCACACAAAGTTTTAAAATCAAAAACTGATCAGAATTCAGTAATGTGCTGATCCCTGAGTAAATAAATATCACACTGCCTGTTCTCTATTACCAAAAATGACTTCTCCTTCTCATCAGAGCTAACGTGCAAAGAACACTAATCGACCAAAGCTGCAGTTCGCCACCAAAGAGAGCAGGGACATGACTCTATCTGATATTGTGGTTCAATCGTCTGTAATTAGAAAAGCACAGCTCGTCTATACGCTGTGGCTGAAGCTCAATCTGTGACAAAACCACTGGATTACAGGCTTCACGCCACAATTAAAAACAGACGCTGTGGATGGGACTGAGATGGTGCAGTTTGCGAAATGACTGTGAGAAATCAGAGAAAGTTTGTTACAGAGGCCAGGTGTTCCTCAAAGACAAGAGACGCAGGAGAAATTGGTCATAGGAGCTTACGAAGGGTCTGAAACTATATGTTCTTGTTCAACTTTTACTTTTCAATGTAGGTGTGTTTGAGCCTCAATATAAAGACACAGAGATTTTTGTTTCATTTTAATACTTCACTACAGTCTGATACAGGTCTCTGCCTCAGAAAATAGACTTTAAAGCATCTCTGTCGCTAATATGTGGGTCATAGGTTGTATGTATGACCCACATACAACAACCCTCTCACCCCCACCCCCACCTCACCCATAACTTCTCTCTGACTTGCCCACATCAGACAGGGCAGGTATGGGTCAAAAACACCCAGTATCTGTCCATCCAACATGTCTAAGTGAAATGCATGTATCTGCTCTCTGCTGTTCTGAATAATCATAAAGAAGTCTTGTTATTTCTTCATATAATGTCACGCTGGAACTAATACAATGTATTCATATGTTCAGCCTCCTGTTTCATGCAAACATAATAGAACTGATGTGGCCATAATAAAGCAAAGAATCAAAAGGTATATTTCGAAACATACAAACACAAGATCACATAACAAAATGACAGACAGTATGTCATGGTGTGGAATTTTTATTATATAGTTATTAGAATACACCGATACCGATACTGGTATCGGGTCGATATCATAGGCTTGTACTCGTACTTGTACTCATACCATAGGACCTGAATACATTAGCATCACGACAGCAGACAGCTCCTAAAGTCAGCAGCAAGAAAGCAAGCTAGCGGTTAGCAAGCTAGCAGCAAACAGACAAAATGTCGGCCGTAAATGGCAGTTCCTCTTAACAAGAGTGACAAGAGTAAAGCGGACTGTACGTTGTGTAAAACTGTCACGGGGTGAATCCAAATCAAACGTTTATCAAACATCTGAAAACCCCTACGCAAAGCATAGCACCTTTGCTAGCACCTGAGCGATTTCTTTGTACCATGTGTATGACTGTAATATAACACTCTTATTGTTGACTGTTGCTGAAATGTTTAATTGTTGCATTTTCTTATTATTGAAATGCGAATTTCAGTTGTAGTAGTTTTTTGAATTCCCAGGGATTACACAATGCAGTATTCAAATCGGTATCGGCAAGTACTCAAATGGAGGTACTCGTTCTCGTATTGGTGCGTCCCTAACATACATATTCGTTCACTTTTACTTCCTGTCTGTCCCTGTGTGTTTGGCTTGTGTCCCTGAGTGTATTTAGACCCTGTGCTTCTGTCCCTATGTTGTCAGTCCATTGCTGTTTTTCCCTCATGTCTTGTCCCTGTCCCTGGTTTTAGTTTGTACTTTTCTTGTGGCATTCATTAAATTACACTATTTTGCAGTTCTGCGTTCGGGTCCTCCCTTGTTTTATGTAAAGCATGTTTTTGAATAATAATAATAATATTAATATTAATTATATTGATAATAGTAGAAGGAGTGATTGTTTACCTGGTCAGTGGTGCAGGTGACTTTCTGCTCCAGTCGGTTCAGCAGAGACTCCACGGCCGACATCCGTCTGTTCAGGTCAGTGATCTGTGGAGGTTTTTAAGTTTGAACCTTTTATTTGTGCTTCATGCTTCAACTGTATGAGAAATTTACATGTGATAGAGTGAAACTAAGCTGCCATTTAAGAGTACTGAAGCTAGATTTTCCACTTTATGGTCTCCAAAAAAAGAACCATTTGTCTAATACATTCCAATGATTCCCAGACACACAAAGCACTTTAAAAATCTTTAGAATCTCAAATTTTGCCCATAATATGACACGGGCAGCAGGTGTGAGACTTAAATTATTGTATTCAGACATTTCGCCTTCACGATTGTTATGGTTTTGGCTTATTTCCTGTTTTGTAATTTGTCTTCCTGTGTGATTATTTTTTGGTGTTTCTGTTGCTACTGGACGCCTGCATCTCTCCGACAGGGATAAAAAACTATATATCTATATCTCTTTTAGATCCCTTCTTTTTGTGTTGTTTACTCTGTATTTTGTTTTTTTCTTCATTTGATTAAATTCCTTTTTTGCAGTGCAGTTTGGGCTCATTTAATTTGGACACATGACACATGAGTTAAAAGCGATTACAAATCTAATTCTATTTATGGTTACAAATCATCTGGCTTTCTGCAAGACTTACAAAGACATTATGTGAAAACAGTTGCCACATATAACATGTAACATATATAGCGTTTTTTACCTTCTCATAACTCAAAGCGCTTCACGATACCATTGAGTGACTGTGAATCATCTCTCATCCAAAAGACGTGGTAGGATCTCAGATTTTTCCAAAACAGAGCGCAGGTGATGTCACATGTTGCTATTACGAGTCACTTGTTTATTTTCGGATATCAAAGCTGTTGAATAAGGCCTCAAGACCATAGAATTCTGCTAAAAAAATCCAAATAATAAATGGCTAGACACAAAAGTTCATGATAAAGTGGGACAAATCCAAAAAGGGTTGAATATTTGGAATCTGCCAAATGAAAAATAAACAGTAGAAGACTAATGGCCCATATGTTTAGACTCGTGTTGATAACAGCTATTGGGGAGTGAGAAAACAGTCAAAGATGGATCTTCATAAGGTCTCCACATGCTGTAGCGGATCAGCCCAAAACGTCCAAACTTTTATATATATTTATTACCTGTTTCTGATTTTGTTACTGGAGGGTGGTACTTCTCTGCTCCATTGGCAAACATTGAAATCACTACTTTTCCCGCTGATTTCCCTTCAGCTCCAACGACAACAGACTGATACATGTGTTGACGAATATTCACAAAATGCTGCACATCAGACAAAGGAATATGCACTCAGGAATCATAAGAGATGACCAGCTTACAAAACCAGACAATTATTGACTCCAAGAATAAACAAATGCTCTCTCCCACTCTCGACGAGGGCAAAAGTCCAACACAATCAGGCGCCCAGTGGTGGGGGGCATTGTTTGCTCAGGTGGAGATGGAAGACCGGGTCCAGACCAGGACCAGGGGCCAGACCAGTCCCAGATCTGTGACGTCATCGGACCCTTTGATAGAAACTGCTGGGAGGAGATTGGCAGTCAGTCAGCCGAGGGCCAGGAGAGGGACATATTAGTTTAGGAGCACTTTTTTTGTTGAATATTCTGTATCTGATTGTAAAGATAATTAAATGCAGATGTTAAACGTGAAGATCTCTTGTCTCGCTCTTGCATCGACTTTGGATACGTCAGTCAAAGGGAATTATTGACTTCATTTTGGTGAATCCCGACGTGATCGGGGCAGGAGCGGGACAGAGATGAGCTCAGTTATAGAGACTGGATTTGTGGGTTTGGAAAAATCTCTCTGCTCTTCAAAAAGGTCGCTTCTAAGGTAAGCGGATCACAGTTTTGGAAATCTGCACATTGTTTTAAATAGAAGAGAGAGAGATTTTGGCTCGACAGATTGCAGCGTGGCCAGACGACCGCCGTGACGGGGCGTTCTATCGGACGCGATAGAACAATAGTCAGGTTTAGACGTTTTAACCTTGGGGGAAGCATGGGTCCCTCCAAAAAAAACAGAACATAGATGTTGAAAAGAGAGCCACAGGATTTAGAAGTGCAAAAGAGGCACACCTTCGTGCAGAGAGGCACAAGCATATTAGTGAAAAATAGGAATAGAATTAGAGAAATAGGGATAGTTAGGGTCAGAAGTGATAGGATAATAAAAACTCCATATCCCCCGGGGGGCGGGAAAAAAAGGGTACATTTAAACAGAAAAAAGCCAAGTATTTAAAATGTGGATTCTGATAATAATGATCTGATTAATGAGAAAAAAGGGAGCCACTTGGCTGTAACTATGAGTTTTCATGTGAAGAAATGACAAAAGATCAGTCTGGGAGTTTTTCTCTTGTATTCTGATGTAATGTTTCGATAGTTACAGAGAATCAGGAAAAAAAAAGATTCTGCTGGAACCCTCGATACATTAATCAGGTAGCAAATTGTAATGTTTTCCATTACTGACGTATTTAAATAAATGTAAAGTGTCGTTTGACGTGAGAGAACTCTCACCACTGATAAAACATTGTCACGATAAAAAACGAGGAAAATGTAGCAAATTTTAAAGGGGATGTTCATGAATTTGGTGTATTTCAGTCGTACATGTACTCCTCTGTTTGAGAAACCACACAGCCCCTCCTTCTCCCTCCTTCTCCCTCCTTCTCCCTCCTTCTCCCTCCTGGCTCCCTCTCTGAAAAATGCTTGAGGCATACAAGCCACTCGGCCCCTCCCCTCCCTCGTTCTGTCCTCTCTCTCTCCCCTTCCTCCTCTCTCTCTCTCTCTCTCTCTCTCTCTCTCTCTCTCTCTGTCTTTCTCTCTCTCTCGTGAAGAAAGAATTTTTTGTAGAAAATTACATATATACACACGATAATGTTACTGACATGGAGTCATAGGATCACAGAACTTTGAGTTAGATTATAAAGAGGCATTATTTTATTTTTATTTTTTATCTGGACAAGTTTTTTTTCCCTACATTTTGGTGATATAAAAGTTAGAATGATCTTAGAGAGCATTATACTTTTGGAAAAAGTAGGGCTTAGGATAGCAGTTGAATGCAGAATTGGTTTTCAGAATTTAATGTTTAAAATGTTAATATTAATTATTTCATAGGTTTATTTTGAATTGTAATTAATCATTGGTTTCGTATGGTAATTAACACACTTGTTTGTGCTTCTTGTTTGTCTGTTTTTTCCGAGAAAACTTCTGTCTGTCTCATTTGGCCAAAATCGTCTGCCACAAGACCTCAATCGGCGCCATCAGCACGGACCATCTGCGTCTCCCCCGTTTCACCCACAGGGGGCAGCAAAGACTGCAGCATCGGCTGCAGCAGCTAACAGGAACTCTCGAAGAAGACTCCTCCAGCCCCATTTCATGGAGAAGAACCAGACTTTTGCACAAACCGAGTGGAGTTATGTGCACGGAGAAGAACGTTGTGTAAACCTAACAAGAAGAAGAAGGACACACGCTGAGACAAAGAAAGACATGAGAAAGTGATTGAAAGAAGAAAGAAGGTGATTATTGAAAGAAGAAGAAAGAAAGTGATTGTTTAAAGAAGAAGGAAAAAGACATGGAGACAAAGACATTGGACACTTTGAGACAAAAGACATTGAAAGACGCCATGAGTAAAAGAAAGACATTAACGGACATTTGAGACGTGGCTGGCCTAAATGAGACACACAGAAGGTAAATATACAGACAGACAAACAAACGCACAGAGACATATTAAGTCATATTTACACATTTAGCTAGGTCATTCGTTCATAACACCACATTTAGCTGCATGAAAGAATACAGGACAATCGTTAGAATTAATTAGACTCTTGCTTTAGCATGAGACACAAGGAGATTAGAACAGCAGTATATTTAAGGTAGAGGAGCTCTATTATTGAAACTAGTATTATTTAAAGTTATAGACGCGGAGAAGTTTAGAATTATTGATTTTAACTGCATGATCTTGGTAATACGGATATTTAAAGCAGTGTTTTCAACCTTTGAACCGTGGCTCGTTAATTATTTAAAAACAGTCACATGCACAGTTGAAACTGGTGCTAGAAAGAGAACTGCAGCTTTTAATGGACGCTGCATTTAGTACAAAATGGTTTGTTCAGACAATTAAAGTTTGAAAAATGATTTAAAGCATTTCTGAATTTTGGCTAAAGGTGATATTGGATCATTTCTGATAACACATAGATGCAACACTGTTCATTGGTTGAAAACAAAGATGTAGGGACATTTTTTGAAATCTTTTATGACATGTTTCTCTTCCAAATAGCTAAATTAGAAACAATTAGGACAATTATGTCTTTGATATAACTGTTGGCAGTTTATCTGAGACATGATTGGTGCAAGTACAACAACACACATAAAACAATGGTCTTTTCTCCACATGAACGTGAAACAAAGGTGAAGTATTAAAGTTTGAAACTAATTTACATTTTTTAAGGAATCCGAACTGGCTTTAAAAAAAAAAGGGAAAAACATTTATTGCACGTGCATGAGTTTTTTTGTTAAGTAACAAGAGCTCATTAAAAATATAGGGGACACAGTTTGTGACAAGCCCGAGTAAAGACCACGTGGTTTAAACACTAAAGTTTGAAATGGATCCTTTTAGGAAAAATCTCTCAAAGCTTTGCATGTTCTGCAGGCTCTGAAAGTTGCAACTATAAAATAGCTCATGAGACAATTGTAATTGGACATGGAAAAATATAACAAAGTTAAAATTACAGGCCTCTTGTGTATGTTATATGTTTGTGTATGTTATATGTTTGTGTATGTTATATGTTTGTGCGTCATGTCAAATACACTACGTTGACCTTAACAAACTGGACCAATACTAACGTGGGGTGTTGTGAGTGTGTTGTGAGTGTGTTGTGGAGTGAACTGAGGAATGCTGAACGGAATCATGGAATAACAAAAGTTTTCTGTAATGTTTTAATGTGATCATGGAATAATTATTTTTTGTCAACAGCATACGGTGTAAGTACTAGAGATTCAAAGATGACAAGCTTTATTGAACAGGTGTAAAAGTGA